GGATCAATTCCAAGCAAGGAAGATGTAAGGTTTTTTTAACAAAAAGATCAGTGCACACAGTCCGCATCTTTAAAAGCAAGCAAAACACCTATAAACTCATGGATATTATCTTAGTGTCTTAGGAGCCTCTTCATCCTAAAACTAAGCAGAAATTTCCTAATAGAACAATTAATCAATGGACCGACTTGCCTCCAGAAATTATGGGTACTCTTTAACACTGCAGGTTTTTAAGAAGATATTGGACAATGATTTCTATGAAATTATGTAGAGTTTCCTGCTTGAAGTTGGGGACTGCATAGAAGACCTCTAAGGTCCCTTCCAACTTCTGTTATTCTGTTATTCACCTACTTTTTCTCCTGGAGCTCCACATTATATAAAGGAATTTCTTTCAATAGGCAATGAAGGAGACACCCTCCAGTACCAATTCTGTATAGGTCCTTGTAACATAGATACTGATACAACTGCCCTACATATCAAACAGGCCCTGAAATATATATTTCTATTCCTACTGCTTGGGGTATGTAACTCCAGAGATTGTTTTTCACGGATGTCTCCACTAGAGGGCAGGCAATCCCCTTATCTTTGCTGTATTTAATGTTTATGCTATTTCTTATAGATTCCAAATTTAAAATGTTGTTTTAATCAACAGCGTTCACTGTGAAAGAAGGGTCTTCTCATCTGGGCAGCTCCTTATAGCTTTTAGACATGGGAAAACATAAGAGGTTCTGGAGAGAAAATATTATCTGGATATCTTGAAAAATTTCTGAATAAAGTCATTATATGTATAATAAATGTCCTGTATGCAATACAGGTAGGTGGTCCTTGACTTATGACCACAACTGAGCCCAAAACTTATGTTGCCAAATGAGACATTTGTTGAGTTTGCTCCATTTTATGACCGTTCTTGTCACAGCTGTTGGGTGAATTACTGCAGTCGTTAAGTCAGTAACACAGCTATTGAGTGAACCTGGCTTTCCCATTGGCTCCGCTTGTCAGAAGGTTGCTAAAGGAAATCAGATGACCCTGGGACACTGCAACCATCCAAATTTTGATCATGGGACCTTGGGGGTTCCGCAATTATTTAAGTATGAAAAACAGTCATAAGTCACTTTTTTCCCAGTGCCATTGTAACCTCAAACAGTCACTAAATGAACTGTAATAAGTCAAGGACTACCTGTAAATGTCTCTAAAAAATGAGAGTGGGATAAAACCTGATTAGAATTATTGTTAGGACTGAATTTAAATCTAAACTATTAGGACCAAAATCTACTCTGTTATCCATAGTTCTTAATTTCCCATTGCACTTAACACATTTGGATAAAAGGTATATTGAAAAATGTTTGAATTATATCATACCAAAATGTAAAACATACGTAAGTTATAACATATTTATTTTTCCCTTTACAGAAGCCTGTTTAATTTCATTAAGAAATATGTTACAGTACAAATACATTTGGGTAATGTAAGGTAAACAGAACCAATATATAACTGGGAGAAACAATATGAAAACTGCCAAGATCATAATGCAGGTAATAACACATTTTTTCACACTGCCTTCAAAGTAGTATTTTAAAATGTCCACTCACAGCTTGAGTAATTATTATTTCTGCTGTTTTGCTCTTATTTCTCAAAAGGGTAGTACTTAGCATTCTGCATTAGTCTATATTTTATTCATGATTACATGTATATTTGCACGTAAATTATTTCTGTAAGAGCAGTGCTGGAAGACAAATACCTTTCTATATTATTCTAAATTGCTGTCAGCTAAACCCTATTATTAAGGCCGTAAAACAATTTTTCTTTTCAAGAATGCTCCTCAACAGTAATAAAAACAGTAGTCGTGCTATGACCAGTTTCAAATCTTCTGTGCCACTCTCCCATTCTTCTTATTTGTTCTCATGGGAATTTTAACTTCTGAGATAATATACAAAAATAACTTCACATAGACCTTGTTGGTAATTTCATGAGAAATACTTAGCATGCGCGGCAGAGAGCCAAAGACCAGCTGGGCCGGTGGGAGGAGCGCACGCATGTGTGACGGAGCTGAACTGGGGCGAGAGGAGGCGCTGCTGCCCCCTCTGGCACACATCCCACGGGTTCTCCACCATGGCTCTAGGCAAACTATTTCTGCAGACCTGAACCTTTTATTTACTAAGTGTAGAAAAATGGACAAGGTAAATGGGCAAATGTTGACAGAAGGCAGCGGAAGGCAGTTATATGGCTTTTTGTGATGAATAAATATTTGTCAAAAGAAGCAAAATGGCTGTTTATGACTTCTCTGTATATGAAAGTGAGAGAATGGGAATAGCGTCAGGAGAAACACGAAAGTGGTTAAGGGCAGTGAGAAAAGGTTGCTTAAGAAGATGAAACAAAGACGTTAATGATCTCTTGTGGGAAGAAACTGGCTGTCAGATAACCCATTAAGTGAAACACCTCAGTTTCCGTTTGAAGGTAATATTCAATCAATCAATAGAAATAACTACAGGTAGTCCTCAATTTACAACCATTTGATTAATGACTGTTCAAAGTTGCAATGGAACTGAAAAAAGTGACTTATGACCAGTTTCCACACTTATGGCCATTGCAGTAGCCCCAGTCATATGATCCATCTTTGGGGAAAACCTTGTTT